CTGATAGCCTTAGGGTGGCCTTTTCAGCCTTGGGGCAGGAAGTTGGTGGCCTCTCTCTCTCTCTCTCTCTCTCTCTCTCTCTCTCTCTCTCTCTCTCTCTCTCTTTTGTTGGTGTGTGGAGTTAATCTTGCCCTTTTTTTTTTCGTTTATTTTCCCTCTTTCCCTCTACCMCCCGCCTGTCCCCCAGCCGTCCCACACCAGTCACACTGTTCCACATACGTGGCTAGTGGGATCGCCCTCCTGGAATCGGAAGTTCCGYCTGTGGAACGGTTGCCTTGCGGAGAACATTGTCGTTTTTTTGACAAGGGACAGATAACATCGGCGTTTTTTTTTTTTGCCTCCGAGTTCTGAGTTTTTTTTGTTGTTCTTTGGTTGTTTGTTTTTTTGTTTCATGTCATCTTGTGTTTTCCCTCTGATGTCCAGGTGTTCTGCACTTTGCGTTCATCGTTTTTGCCTGTTTCATAGCATTTCTTTGCCGCTCTGACGCCGACTTCGATCTCTGTTGCGAGTTGGCAACATTCTCAGAGGGTTCCGACATCGTTTTTTTTTTTCGCAGTTGGCGACTTTCATCATGTCGCAGGACCGGGGGAAGGATCAGGTAGACTCGCTCACGACCGCCCGACAAGGTCATAACACGAAGACGTTTGACTCGCCGTTCAAGGTCGACCCGACAGTTGATGGCAAGCGGGACGACCCGGTGTGGCATTTTGTGGCCAGAGGGCGTTATTTGGATGGGTCGACAGCGGCAGGCACGAAGAGCGGTCGTCGATGCCTGTGGAGGTTGTGCGGGCGTTCGATTTGTGGGGGCGCTAAAGCCGCCAAGGAGCACTTCTTGAAGAGCGAGAAGTCCCGATGTGAGGTAGCCACTCCTGCTGTGTGGAATGCAATCTGGTCGAAGGACATGACAAAATGTCCAAAGGAGTTCGCGTCGGCCATAGAAACGTTGCAGAGCCACTTGCCAGGTCATCCGAGCTTGCAGTGGCCACCTCTTCGATTCCCCGAGGACGCAGTGCCGCCGCTGGTTCCTCCCACCGCCCCTTCTGGAGCCGCCGCATCGCCCAATTCTGGGGCTCCGGCCATTCGAGTCACAGTATCGCGTCCTGCAACAACAGTTGCAACACGACCGGCAGCCCCGCCGTCTGCGCCGCTGGCTGGGACACGAGGTGCTCGCGATGTGGGAGTTGGTCATTCCACGCCAGCCAACGAGCCCCCGCCTCTGAGGGATGGTGTGGGCTCTGCGGCATTTGAGGAGGAGAGCACACGTGCATTTATTGAGAGTCACAGGTGGGGGGGGAGTGTCGGCAGTTCAGCGCCCGCGCTCGCCCCTGTTTTCAGGAGTGCTAGGCAGTCAAATGCCGCACGGGGTGGTACTGCGGTGGCACCTGGCGCATCACCCCGCAGTTCGTCGGAGCACCCCTGGCTGCCACCGCCACCGTCGAGAGCGGCGCAACGTCCAATGGTCCACCACGCTAACGGAACCGCTCACCCGGATCCGTCACACACACCTGCAGATGCTCGACATTCTGCTTCCGTGCCTCGTTTCGGGGAACAGGTGGATCATGGGGTGCCTGCCGAGGAGGTCCCCGCTCCGGTGTCCGATTCATCGCCGACCCCTGTTCCGACAACCACGAGCGGTGGTCGGTCTGCCCCACAGCCTCCACCCGTGTTGACCGGAACGTTAGACCCTTTGCAGCGCATTCGTGACCTTGCAGTCGCCCAGAGCGCGACACCTGTGAGCCCTGGCGGGTTGTTGGATGCTGGGGTCCTCGGCGGGAGAGCTACGACGGGACGATGTCGGGGCACTTACAGGCAGCAAGCCGTCACGTCATATTATTCGGACCCTTTGGAGGGAGCATGGCATCTGCAAATCATGCGGTTCATCGTCGAGAGCGGGATGTCGTTCAACAACACGAAGCTTGAAAGCTTCAAACGCATGTTCACGATGATAATCCCGCCGGGGGTTCCAGGGGCGCCCGCGCCTAGACTTCCCTCGTACCACATGCTGCGCACGACCCTTTTGGACGAGCTGGATGGTGAGGTCCAGAAGTGTGTTCGGCCGGTGCTTGACACGTCAAGAGAGACCGGTTAATCATGACCGATGGTTGGACCAACATCCGTGGTCAGACGTTGTGCAACTACCTTGTTGGTACAGAGATCGGGGTGGTGTATGTGTCCACCGACGTCATGCGTGGCAAAAAGGACGCCAGTGCCCTTGCGAACGCATGGTTGAAAAGGGTGAAGTCCATGGACGTTCAATTGAGCGACATCACGGCGTTCGTGACGGACTCCGCCGGGGCGAACGTCGCGGCGATGGAGGTATTCCAAAAAGATGAGAGCGTGAAACACATCTTCTGGATTCCTTGCGTCGCCCACATCATAGATCTCATTCTCGAGGACATCGGCGGGATTGATTGGGTGGCTTCTCGAATTTCTCAAGCGAGGCTGGTTACAAGGTTCTTCAAGCGTCATGGAAATGCGAGAGAGGTTCTTGAGGCGCACTCGACGAAGACTCTTCTGCTACCGGCGGAGACGCGTTTCGGCACGAACGTCATCATGATGGAGAGGCTGGTGGCACTGTGGGCCGCGTTGACAGATGTTGTGGCCGACGATCGCTGGCACGAGAATGTTTGGTCGACCAGCAAGATCCGCAAGGATGCAGCGGAGGTCACTGCATGTATCGGCTCCCCTCCATGGTGGGAGGATTTGAGAGCTCTGTGCAAGATGCTAGAGCCCATCATGGGCATGCTGAAGTTGGTGGACAGCGACACACGCTAGATCAGCAAGATTCTGCGACGTTACGAGGAAATTATTGCATCTTGTTTATCCGCATGTCGTGACATTGATCGGGAGCAGCAGGACGCTATTGTGGAGGTGTTCCACAGGTGGCGCACCATGTTCAAGACCCCCGCCCACACGACAGCCATGCTGCTAGATCCAGAGTTCCGGGACGCGACGCTTTGTGACGATGCGGAGGTGCAACAGGCCTTGGTCGAGGCCCTTGTCCAGTTCGGCTACCCGGAGGATTCGCCGCAGCACCGGGAGGTCCAACGAGCGGTCGCCAAGCTCCACACGAGGGAGCCCCCTTTCGATGAGCTCACCATGCGGCGAGCTGCGGATATCTTTGATCACCCTGCCAGTTTTTGGTCCTCAAAGAAGGTGAAGTTCCCTCACACGGCCGTGTTTGCAGGCAGGATCCTTCGTATATGGGCGACCGCCTCACGGTGCGAGAGAGTGTGGTCTCATTGGAGCTTCATTCATTCGAAGTCTCGCAACAGGTTGGAGGTTCCCCGGGCTGAGAAGCTTGTGCGGTGCCACTGGAACCTCAGGCTACTCGATCGACCTTCGTTGTGCGACGATGGTGTTGGAGAGAGGCCCGACGTCTTCGGGAAATGGGTGCATTATTGGAAGGTCGTGGAGGACGAGGCAGCCATGGACCAGCAGCTCGTCAGAGGCACCGGTGTTCTGGCGAAGGTGACCGAGGAGGAGTTGAGCCTCGCCAGAGAGATGATGCGCGCCATTTCTCGCATGGGAGCCGAGCGTCGGGTGGCGGAGTCGGACAGGAGGCGACGCAGGGCTGGTGGTCGGGGACGTGGCGGCTGTGGACGAGCAGGTGTCAGAGGACGTACACGTGGCGATGCGGGTTCCACTCCTCGGACTCGGCGACAGCGGACGGATGGTGGCATTCGCAGGGCCCGCATGCGTTGGGACGAGGGTGACTTCTTGTTCGACAGCACATCCAGCGACGACGACGATTTCTTTGCGTCGGGAACACATGCATCCACGGGTGATGATAGAGGTGACGCTGACAACAGAGGCGATGACAGAGGCGACGGTGATGACAGAGGTGATGGCGCAGGGCCCGGGGGAGGGGGAGGGGGAGGTGGAGGTGATGGAGCAGGGCC